CAAGGATAAGCTCCTAGCTTAAAGGATGGAGATAAAGGAAAACACAGGCTGAGCCTGCAAGAGTGAGCCACTGGGCTCTAGGAAGGTATTATAACTGTCACTTTTATCTCTGGAAAAAACACTGAATAGGAATAATTAAAAATTTTAATACAGAAGATGCAGAAACAATTCAAGCACACCCAGCTACCTTATCTTTGACAAAGGGGCCAAATACCTACATTGGGAAAAAAAAGTAGCCTTTTTAATGAGAGGTGTACTTGCCTGTATGTCCATCAACAGATGAATGGATAAAGAAAACGTGGTGTTCACATACAGTGGAGTACTACTATGCCATAAAGAAGGATAAACTTGAATCATTTGTTGAAAAATGGATGCACTTCTAGACAATAATTTTTTTGAGACAGTCTTACTATGCAGGGCAGGCTGGCCTTGAACTTGCTTATATAGCCCAGGCTGACCTCAAACTCATGGCAATCCTCCTGTCTCAGCCTCCTGAGTGCTGGGATTACAAGGGTACACCACCTTGAGACCATAACCTTAAGTGAAATAAATCTGACACAGGAGTTAAATATCACTTTGCTTCTCTTGTGAGACATCCAAAGAGTGCATAAAAGGCATAATAGAGGGCAGATATTTGGAAGTAGAAAGAATGTCTTCTGGGCTCTGGAGACAGCTCAGCAGTATAAGCACCTGCCTGGCAAGCACAAGGACCCAGATTTGATGCCTAGTACCACATGCTGTGCAGGCCCCGTGGCGTGATGTGTGCTGAGCCAGCCACTGAAACCCACCATGGTGGTGCATGCCTGTAATCCCAGCACTGGGGAGGCCAAGACAGGAGGATCATTATGAGTCTGAGCTGTGTAGTGAGACCTGTAAGAAATAAATAAATAAATAAATAAATAATTTTTTAAAAAAAGAAAGAACATCTTCCACTCAGAAGGGAATAAGGGGTAACAAGGAAGAGAAAAGGAACAAAAAGAAAATAGAAGGAATACAATGGAAACAATGCTTTTGTAAATGAGGAGGGAAAGAAATCTTGAAGGAAGGGAAAGGGAAAGGAAAAAAAAAGAAGATATACTATAGACAGGTGCAAAGTTCTCTATGATAAATGTGATCAACATGTATGATAAATATGTACTAATAAAAAATAAAATTGAAATTTTAAGTTAAAAGAAGAGGAGAAGGAAAGGCTCTACAGAGGCCTGGGGACCTATGAGCCCAGCTACTTGGGAGGCTGAGGCAGGAAAATTGCACATTCCATCCAGCCTGGGCAACACAGGCAATAGAGATCCAGACTCCAAAGGGGCCTGAGTAGAGAACAGGGAGGGATGAGCGAGGGAGGGAAGAAAGAAAGATGAGGGAGGGAGGGGGAGGGGTACAAGGAGGAAGGAGGGAGGGAGAGGGACAGGAGCTGAGGCCCCACCAGCATCCCAGTCTTGGAAGACAAAGGGAATCTTCCAGTGACAGTCCTCTCTCCCTTGCTGCGACTGAGGTTGGACGCAATGGTCCTGCGGGCATCCATGGCCCTGGGTCTACCCTGGGCAGTGAGTGTCGGTTCTTTCATCTGCTCATGCCACGTGGTTCAGAGCATGCTAGCACACAGCACAGCGAGACAACAAACATACAGGCTTTACCTGCTTATGACAATTGAGGCTTCTGAGAGAACCCAAAAGCCATGAGGCCCAAGAAGGACAGGGTGGAAGTAAAACTTTTGTAAATGAGGAGGGGAAAAAGGGTTGAAGGGAGGGGAGGGGAATGGGAAGAAAAAGAATCAAGATATGTCATGTAGAGGTACAAATTCCCCATGGTGAGTGTGATCATTATGTGTACCTAAAATGTATCAATAAATGTCATGGTTTGTTTCTAGGTGTCACCCCAAGCCCCATGCAGTCATGGGGTGGACTTCTAGAGTTTGTGATTAACTCATGATTTAATGGGTTTATGGGTGATCCAAGGATCACTGGTATTATGATCCACTGGGATTATGGGTCTGAGTGCTGCTGGGATTATAGGTGTAAGTGCTACACCCAGCCTGAGACAGAGAGCCTGAATGTAACATAAGAGAGACAGAGAGACAGACTTGCTCTCTGTTGCTATTGTTGCTACTACTCCTCCCTTTTGCTCTGTGCTCTTTGATGCCGCCATCAAGGTTGTTCTCTGCCATGTGCTGCTCTGTCTTGGAGCCAGCTGAGTATGGACTGAAACCTCTAGCAACTGTGAGCTAAATAAACCTTTCCTTCCTTCATTGTAGGTACAGGATATTTGTCCCAGCAACGAGAGAAGAGTAACTGAGACAATAAACTTGATTAATAATAACTTTTTCAAAGGTCATCGGCCTAAAGGACCAGGCAGGTCATGGGAGTGGGAGAGAGCGGGCTGGCTTCAGTCTTCTTGGCAGAGAGGTCGGAAGGCTCCTGGTACGGCTCAGGCGGGGCATGGAGAGGGGGACTGGCAGCAGACACCGGGGTCCTGGCCTGGTAGGGAATGGGTGCTAGGGTGAGAGAGGAAGAGATGGCTGTGGGAAAGGAAGGAGGAGAGTAAAGAAAAAGGTGAAACAAGAAAGCCACGTCTGCTGCAAGAGCAGCAGACGTGGCTTACCCTGAGAACCTGAGGAGCTGGAGAGGAAGTCCAGCCAAGCTCACGCCTTAGAGCTGCGTCGTGGGCTACGGATTCATCTCCCCTCTTTATCTAAAGTACAAAGGAAATTTTTAATCTTCTGGCAATATGTTGACTCTAAAGTGTTCAGAGACCTCAGGGAAAAGATTCCTTTAAGAAAAAATCTGTTTCCCTGAAAATGAGACCTAATTGGAAAATAAGAAGCCTTAAGAACTAGAGATTTTTAAAAATGCCAACCCTGGGCCTGGTACAAGGTCCTGAGTTCAATTCTTGGTACAAAAAAAGTCAGCCCCCAACAGATTACCCCTGCCCTGCCCTGCTCTGCCTGCCCAATGTCAGCCACTCTTCAAGGCAGGAAGGGCAAGGATGGGCTGACGGGGGGCTGGTACTTGGCATCTCTAGGTTTTGAACACTGATTATTTTCCTGTTGGGTCTTATTTTGGGGGAAAAGAGGATTTCAATCGGAGGAGGGGAAAATATAGATAACAAGAGCAAATGTGATCACAATGAGATTGTTGTCATAGAAAATGGTTTTTTTACATAGTTAATATGAGGTTATCTTAAGCTTGAAGAATTTCAAGTATAGGGAAAGTTTTTATTTAGATGAGAAAAAGCAAGAAACACTTTTTAAGTGGTGAAAGTACATCCTGACATAACTTACTATTAAATTGAGTTGGGAAGCTGCTTCTTTGTTACTTTTTCCTTATTGAAATTGATGAGATATAGTTTCAGTTGGTGATTTTACTAATTTCATCATAATATACAGCCACTCTGACAGCCAAACAGACAGGTTGAGGCTGGGTATTAACATAACTAGAAGTACGAAAAATAATAAACTAAAGAGTTACATGTACTCAAAGATAAAAAGGTTTTCAGAACTGTAGCAATGCTGACCTTTGACAGAAAAGAAATTAAACCCAGTTACATTTAGCAAGTTACTAAGACCCTGCTGAAAGCAGGGAGGGGCTGGAGATGTGCAAAGTACAAACACCGTGCGTTCAATCCCCAGTACCGCAAAAAAGAAATTTCTTTCCTTGAAATTAAAAACATGTTTTATATTTCTTTCTACCAAAGGGGCAAAAAATGGTGTGTAAATACAGCTCAAGCAGAAGGAATATGCATAATTACAATTATAAATATTACAAGCAATAAATCTTCTAAACGTAAGTAGGGGACCCAGTTAGAGAGAAAAATACTAATATCAGGCACGGCTGAGCGTCCTCCCGCCAGCGTAATCATCTGTTGTCCAAATGCCCTCACTTCAGGTACAGCTTTTCCTTACGAAGCGCTTCAAGGGCACTGACAGCGCTCGTGTTTGTGAATATCCCGGCGGACAAGGAATAGTCGTTTCCTATACTGCGTTCTACTGAAAAACAGAAAGCCAAGACACAGGAATGGGAGACTTTTGCCCAGGCTCAAAAGCTCACCGCAAATTCGGCTGCCCTCAACTTTCTCTCTTAGCAAAATTTCTCTCCACGTATCCCGAGGAGAGTCCTGCCCAAGCTCCCCCTGCACACGGTGTCTCGGGGCTCTGCACCACGCACCCGTGGGACCCAGAAGCTGCGTGAGCGCCCGCTGGATGCGGGGAGCCACTGCGGCCAGGCTGCAGGCAGCCAGACTTTCTTTCAAAACATTTGCACCTCTTCCAGGAAGCAAAACCTTCTAATATTACCCGGATAACCAATTAGCAGACTAGATTTAATAGAAGCTGAGAAATGTCAAGAGTTCCGTTTCCATTAATCCCTTTCGGTGGGGTAAGAAAAAAAAAAAAAAAAAAAAACAGGCAACTTCACTCCTCTCCGGCTGTGGATTATGAACTCGTGCTCTGCGCCTACAAAGCTTTCAGATCATCAGAAACGCAACTGCAAATGAACGCTCGTCCCACACACACTGGAAAGCAGATGGAGCCAGAGGCAATGAAATTAAACCTGCCCCTTCGCTCCCCAGTCTTCAACCAGTTAAAATTTTCTGGCAGTGCTTAAGAGGAAGCCCTCCAGTTTCCAAACAGAATTGACACTCACATTATCCGAGCAGAGCTGGAGCATGAGTCCTTTCCAAGGTAGCCAGTGAGTGAAAAATTAATATTGTTTTCTGACATGTGTGTGCATTTGCCCGATCCATGGGGCATGCGCCCCCCCCCCTTTACGGTAATTTCCCAGAATTTCTCCACGCCAAATGCCTGTAAGACAGGTGGCTTCGTCTTCCACTTCTCTGATGATCTCAGAGAATTAATTAAGTTGACAGCCATGTGAGCCCATCCTTCTGCACATTAATCAGACCCTGCCGCCTGCCCGAGTGAAGAACAGCAGCCTCTTCAATATTCAAGGGGTCTCAGCTCCCTTGCCGAGCCGCTCCAGCCCCACGAAGGCGGCAGCTAAACTCACCTGCCGTTCTTGGTCACGATCATCTCATTAGTGACTTCCTTGAACCTCTGCCACAGGGGTGCATCCTCCAGGATGATCTGAAGTTGCTTCTCTGTGGGGTCACCTTTTTCCCTTCCGGCCTGAAGCTCACTTTCCACCACATTGAGCAGGCGAGAGACGGCACCTTCGCTGGTCTTCTGTGTGCCCAGCTCACTCATGGCCATGGGCCCCTCTCAAACTTTGCTTCGCACTGTCACCCACCTCACCTGCTTCAAGCTCCTTCCTCCTCTCACCTGCCTGCTTTCCAAGCCCAGCGGGTCCAAGTCTGGAGAACCAGAAGACGCCCTGAATCTTGCCTAAGCTCCTACTGTGACACCCCTTAAAGTCTCCAAATTATACCACCAACCTGTTAAGCTCCAGTTGGGGAGCGGGGTGGAGGGAGAGGAGATAGGGAAGAAAAAGCCCTCTCTTAATTACTCATTGGATCAGGTGGGAGAGAGCCCGGCTTTCCCATTGGCTGCTGTGCCTAGAGTAGACGTTTAAGAAGAGTACTCCATCCAAATTATCAGGCTTTTATCTTGTTGTACCTGAAGAGGTCTAATCGGTGTATTGAGGACCATTTTCCCATTAATTAAAATTATTCCAGGCCCAGACTGCAACAATCAGGCAAATCATGTTTGTGTATAAATCAGCATGTGGCACCTATAGGGAAGGATGTCCTGGGGAGAGCTGACCAATATGGGACCAACCTGGGCTGTTGTGATGCAGCAGAGAGCCTAGACCCAGCAGGGATGCTCACACCTTGGGCCAAGTTTCCCTGGATGAAACTGCAGAGCTCAAAGGCACTCCACCAAGAAACAAGACTACTGAGTCCCAGAATAAATTAGGATGCTCTCTGGACTCTAGGCTCCAAGCACAGGAGAAGCGGAAGAGTAAAAGACCTCCTCCCAGAGTGTTCCTCCTGGGTATCTCTCCTACACACACACACACACACACACACACACACACACACACACACACACACACCTTATTCTTCTAGAGGGCCCTGTTCACCTCCAACAAACAAGAGTTTTGAAACTTGTCCTTGCTTTTCAGATTCCAGAGCCCAAATTTTTCTTCTTTCCAGTCTTAGCCAGAGGGAGGGGAGAAAAACTAGTCAGTACTATATTATTCTCTCAAAAAAATTTAAAAATATACACTGATCTCAATGGAGAAAAATGAACTTTACACAACTACATGAAGCAATTTTAATGTTTGGTCCAAAACAGCTTTCTGACTTTCTCTTTAGACAACCCATAGCCTATTCTGGCCTTCAGGGGTGAATTTCCACCTTTCCTGGGAAAATATAGCTAGTAAAAGAATTTCACTTTAGGGGCTGGGGAGATGGCTCAGTGGAATAAGTGCTTCCTTGACAAGCACAAGGGCCTGAGTTCAATCCCTGGTTCAGGAAAAAAAAAAAAAAAAGAAGAAGAAGAAGAAGAATTTCACTTTACCCATATCACACAGGGCAGGAGCAGAGGTAGCTCAACCCTTCAGTCCTAAGTAAAGATTTTGTTTCTCTCATTGCAATATAAATTAAGAAAAATCAGAACAAATGAAGAGTGAAAGCAAGATGCTAACGTAAAGTCAAGGTGAGGGTTCTTTAGGACATATCTGCAGCCTGAGTACCACATACCCGCGAGGCACTTACAGTGATGATCAAGATAAAAATGTACCCTCAGAGAATTAGCAATCTGATGAGAAAAATAAATGATACAAAGAACAGCTAAGTAATTATTAACTGTGATACATCTAAGGAGACCATGTGATAGGGTTGCACAGTGGAGGAAACTTCATGGAGCCAGGGTGAGAGGAGTGTGACTAGATGGTGTTTGGAGGAAGGTTTCTCTGAAGAGACATTTCACCTGTGACCAAAAGCTTAGCAAGGATTCAGTCAAAGAAAACTTGGTGGAAGGGTGCCAAGCAGAGACACAGCATGGGCCAGGTAGAGACCCACAGACCAGGGTGGCCAAATGTGATGATGGAGAGAGAGAGAGAGAGAGAGAGAGAGAGAGAGAGAGAGAGAGAGAGAGAGA